TACAAAGGCCAAGGCCTCAACACAACAACAACATAACAATATACACAGCATTATAAAGCAAATCAAAACATTAAGCAAGTAGCCAAATACAGCAGGGGGAAACTGGAAACTAAATGTTGGAAATGTAGGAAAACCAACGGAACTTTTATACATATGTGGTGGGGTTGCCCAAAGATAAAAACTTTTTGGCGAGCAATCCACAAAGAAGTTGAAAAAATATTAAAAAGGAAACTCCCCATGAAACCCGAATGCTACTTGTTGGGTATTACTGACTTTGATCTCGACAGCAATGATAGTAAGATCCTTTTCCATCTCTCGACAGCGGCCAGAATCCAACTGGCCCGCCACTGGAAGTCTAGAGAGATCCCTACAACAGAACAGTGGACACTAAAATTATATGATGTGATGAATATGGATCTACTGACCCAGAGACTATCTGACAATGGAAAAAAAGAAAAAGGCACGAATTGGAGCAGTTTTATAGAATATCTTGAAAAAGAAAAGTAAAATCTAAGAAGTGTAAGCGACGGCTCTGCTATACATATAAAAAACCCTGATATGTATTATTAGGTATGATTTGTAATTTGAGAATTATTCAACTGTTTGTTCTCCTGGAAGTATTTTAAAACCCAACCCCCCCTCCCTATTGTATCTTGTATCTTGATGTTAACCCCATTCCCCAACTTTTCCTATCCACGCATTCCCCCTGCGTACCCCGTCCCCGTGTGTATACCCTACATCCCCAACACTTACCCTCACCCAATTTTCCCCACCCCTCCCCTACAACCCGTTTTTTTTTAATATGTATTGAAAATGACAATAAAGTTTGTTAAAAAAAAACATTAAGCAATAACAGTAAACAATAGAAACAGTACACCATGACACAATAAAACTAGGGCCGGGCCAAATGTAATGGGTACAAATTAAAAGTGCTGAGTATGACAGGTGGAACATAGGACTTTAGGGTAAGTGCAATGTGCAGACAATCTTAAATCTCTGATAAAGTGCTTCTGGGACATTTTGCTGGAGTTTCCTATTCTGGAAAGGCACACTGGAACAGCCAGGTCTTCAAACTCTTCCTAAAGACTGCAAATGTAGGGGCTTGTCTGATGTCCTTGGGGAGGGTGTTCCAAAGTCGGGGGGCCACCACAGAAAAGGCCCTGTCCCTCGTCCCCACCAGACGCGCCTGCAACGCAGGTGGGATCGCGAGCAGGGCCTCTCCGGATGAACGAAGAGAACGTGTGGGTTCATAAACGGAGATACGGTCACGCAGGTAGGCAGGTCTCAAACCGTTTAAGGCTTTGTAGGTAAGCACCTGCACCTTGAATTGGGACCGGAAGATGAACGGCGTTGCTGTGGCCCAGTCTGTATATATGTTTTTTTGTGTGTCTATGTGTGTTTGCGTATATATGTGGTTTTGCGCATGCGTTGTAATGTATTTTTTGGTTTTTTGGCTTTTTAAGTCTCTTCTGTGTTTTTCAGTGATTTTATGAGTGATGGTCACTCGTTGGCCTGATAGGTGTATTGTGTCCAAATTTGGTGTCAATTCATCCAGTAGTTTTTGAGTTATGTTAATCCCACAAACGAACATTACATTTTTATTTATATACATACTAGCCATCCCCTGCCATGCATTGCTGTGGCCCAGTCTGGTGATCTGGAAAATAAAGTAATGGGAAAGGGTTGGTTTCTAATATATGTAATTTTTTCGTGCTTGTGGGTAAACAGTATTTGATTACATTTTCTTGCCCTGGTGAAGGGAGTTGGACTGGATGGCCTTAAGTATTTTCTATTGGTCATGGGGGTTCTGTGTGGGAAGTTTGCCCCGATTCTACGTTTGTGGGGTTCAGAATGCTCTTTGATTGTAGGTGAACTATAAATCCCAGTAACTACAATTCCCAAATGTCAAGGTCTATTTCCCCCAAGCTCCATCTGTGTTCCTAGTTGGGCATATGGAATATTCGTACCAAGTTTGGTCCAAATCCATCATTGTTTGAGTCCACAGTGCTCTCTGGATGTAGGTATACTACAACTCCCAAACTCAATGTCAATGCCCACCAAAACCCTTCCAGTATTTTATGTTGGTCATGGGAGTTCTGTGTGCCACGTTTGGTTCAATTCCATCATTGGTGGAGTTCAGAATGCTCTTTGATTGTAGGTGAATTATAAATCCCAGCAACTACAACTCCCAAATGACAAACTCAATTTTTTTGAGTGATGGTCACTCCTTGGGTTAGTAGGTGTCTTGTGGCCAAATTTGGCGGCAATTTGGTCAGTGGTTTTTGAGTTATGTTAATCCCACAAACGAACATTACATTTTTATTTATATAGATTGTCAAAGACTTGGTCTTGGGGGTTCTGTGTGCCAAGTTTGATCCAGGTCCATCATCGGTGGAAATCACCATTTCTCTGGTTGTGGGTGAACTACAAGTCTCAGAAAGGAAAGTCAGTTCCCCTGCTCCAGTTTTCAAATTTCAACATATCAAGTATGCATGCCAAGTTTGGTCCAGATCCATCGGTGTTTGGGTTCGCAGTGCTCTCTGGATGTAGGTGAACTACAACTCCCTCAAATCAAGGTGAATTTTCCCCAAAGACCTCCAAGTACTTTTTGCTTGTCATGGGGATTTTTTTGTGCCAAGTTTGGTCCAATTCCATCTTTGGTGAAGTTCAGAGTGCTCATTGATTGCAGGTGAACTATAAATCCCAGTACCTCCAACTCCAAAATGTCCAGGACAATTTTCCACAAAACCCACCAGGATTCAAATTCGGGTTATGCCAAGTTTGGTCCAGATCCATTGTTGTTTGGGTTCACAGTGCGCTCTGGAGGTAGGTGAACTATAACTCCTATAAATCCCTCGAAAGACCTCCAGCATTTTTTGTTGACCATGGGGGTTCTGTGTGCCAAGTTAGTTCCATCATTGGTGGAGTTCAGAGTGCTTTTAAACTGCAGGTAAACTACACACCCCCGGTACCTACAACTTCTATAAATCGCTAGCTGTACCCACCACGTGTTGCTGTGGCCAACCTTCCCCCCTTCCTTCCTTCCTTCCTTCCTTCCTTCCTTCCTTCCTTCCTTCCTTCCTTCCTTCCTTCCTTCCTTCCTTCCTTCCTTCCTTCTCTACCTATTCTTGGACTTCAGCTCCCAGCTGTCCTCCAGATTGACCTACCTACCTACCTACCTACCTAATCTATCTATCTGGAGGATTGCTGGGAGTTGCAGTCCAGGAATAGGACATTGGAAATATGCAGGAATTGGGATGCTCTCAAAGAAATCCAAGGAGAAGAAAGCTTGCGTCTTGGAAGCAGTGCATTTGGATCATCCTCCTAAAGGGCCTCATCTAGGAGATGCTGGGAGCTGTAGTCCGGAAAAGAGTGTGGATATGCTATTGTGTCTTTTGTTTGGCAGGGGAGTCATTTTTGCACATGTGCTGTAGCATCTTTTTGCTCTTTTGGCTTTTTAAGTCCCTTCCACTGTTTTCCCCCCAATGTTTTTATGAGTGATGGTCACTCATTGGCCTGATAGGTGTATTGGGTCCAAATTTGGTGTCAATTCGTTCAGTGGTTTTTGAGTTATGTTAATCCTACAAATTTATATAGACTAGCCACCCACTGCCATGCGTTGCTGTGGCCCAGTCTGGTGATCTGGAAAATAAAGTAATGGTTTCTAATCTATGTAATGTCTTTATCCTTGTGGGTAAACAGTATTTCTTGTTGTTTCTTTGTCAGTGTTGATGTGGAGAGTGTCTGGTTTGCCTACTCTGGAATATGCAACATATAATTGTCCTTCTTTAGGGGTCCCTTTCAAATCTATGATATTATATCTGTGTGAATCATATCATATCTATGGCTGGATGGCTCTTTCTCAGGAGGGCTTTAATTAGATTTTCTTGTCCTGGTGAAGAGTTGGACTGGATGGCCTTAAGTATTTTCTGTTGGTCATGGGGGTTCTGTGTGGGATATTTGCCCCAATTCTGTCGTTTGTGGGGTTCAGAATGCTCTTTGATTGTAGGTGAACTATAAATCCCAGTAACTACAACTCCCAAATGTCAAGGTCTATTCCCCCCAAACTCCATCTGTGTTCATATTTGGGCATATGGAATATTTTCACCAAGTTTGGTCCAGATCCATCATTGTTTGAGTCCACAGTGCTCTCTGGATGTAGGTGAACTACAACTCCCAAACTCAAGGTCAATGCCCACCAAACCCTTCCAGTGTGTTCTGTTGGTCATGGAAGTTCTGTATGCCATTTTTGGTTGAATTCCATCATTGGTGGAGTTCAGAATGCTCTCTGATTGTATAAATCCCAGTAAGTACAAATCCCAAATGTCAAGGTCTATTTACTCCAAACTCCATCTGTGTTCATATTTAGGCATATGGAATATTCATGCCAAGTTTGGTCCAGATCCATCATTGTTTTCTGTTGGTCATGGGAGCCCTGTGTGCTAAGTTTGGCCCAATTCCATCATTGGTGGAGTTCAGAATGCTCTTTGATTGTAGGTAAACGATAAATCCCAGCAACGACAATTCCCAAATGACAAAATCAATTTTTTTTGAGTGGAGGACATAAATTGGACTGTTAGGTGTCTTGTGTACAAATTTGGTGTCAATTCCACCAGTGGTTTTTGAGTTCTGATGTTAGCACGAATTAACATTACATTTTTATTTATACAGATTGTTTTTTTGGGAGGAATTTTTTTGAGTGGAGGACATACATTGGGTTGTTAGGTGTCTTGTGTCCAAATTTGGTGTCAATTCCCCCAGTGGTTTTTGAGTTCTGATGATATCACAAACGAACATTACATTTTTATTTATATAGATGGTGAATTCTCCCCAAACCTCTGTGGTATGTTCAGTTGTTGATCAATTCCTCTGTTTGCTGTGGGCCATAGAAAAGAATAGGAAAGGATTAATGGAGAGGCAGTGGGCACCAATGGAGAGAGTCAGAAACACTGGGATATCTGTGGTGGAGAAAAAACAGAGAATTGAAGATGAAATTGTACCTGAATGAAAGCCTTCACTTGGGTGGTGTGCAGGATGGTGTTGGTGGAGAACATGTCCAAGGCAGGGCTTTTGGACATGTTCATGTTGCTCTCTATAACCTCCAATGTCATTGGAGGGAAGGCCATTTGTGTCTCCCGAGTAGTGGAAGCAAAAGCTGTTTGTGGAGGCAGGATCTTATCTGTATAAGTGGACATCTCAGCCACATAGACACATACATATTTTCAGTTTTATTATGTATATAGATAGCTGTATAGCTTTATAGTTTTACTGTATAAGACTTACAACCAGCAATCCCTAAGTTAGTTTAGGATAGTGATTAGTGTCTATTTGTCTTTGTATCTTTGTCTATTCTGCTTTGGTTAGACCACACCTGGAATATTGTGTCCAATTCTGGGCACCACAATTCAAGAGAGATATTGACAAGCTGGAATGTGTCCAGAGGAGGGCGACTAAAATGATCAAGGGTCTGGAGAACAAGCCCTATGAGGAGAGGCTTAAGGAGCTGGGCATGTTTAGCCTGAAGAAGAGAAGGATGAGAGGAGATATGATAGCCATGTATAAATATGTGAGAGGAAGCCACAGGGAGGAGGGAGCAAGCTTGTTTACTGCTTCCATGGAGATTAGGACAAGGAACAATGGCTTCAAACTACAAGAAAGGAGATTCCATCTGAACATGAGGAAGAACTTCCTGACTGTGAGAGCCGTTCAGCAGTGGAACTCTCTGCCCAGGAGTGTGGTGGAGGCTCCTTCTTTGGAAGCTTTTAAACAGAGGCTGGATGGCCATCTGTCAGGGGTGATTTGAATGCAATATTCCTGCTTCTTGGCAGGGGGTTGGACTGGATGGCCCATGAGGTCTCTTCCAAATCTTTGATTCTATGATTCTATGATTGACATGGTCAGTGGACTAATCAATAAACAGATCTATTTATATGTCTGTAATGGCCAAGCCAATTGAGATTCCAACCCTCAGCCATTAGAAAAATGTGTACAATAACCCCATAAATCTCCCCCAAAGAATTCTGAATAGTTCTCGCTGAACTTACAAATGGTAACTCCATAAGTCTCCCACAAAGGGTTCTGAATAGTCCTCTCTAAACTACAAATCCCAGTGATTCCTATGAGCGGATCCATAAGTTCTCAAGTTGCCTTACAATGCCTTTCTTAGTATAAGTGACCCCAAGAGGCACCCCAAAGACAGCCATATTAATCTCTGCTTAGAGATCACCACCAAAATGATTAGATCCACTGCTGAGAATGTTGTATGTCAGCCTGTGATTGTGTCTAATGTTCATATGAATGTTTGGGTATCAGCCAGCACGTCAACGACTTAAATCTAGACATAGTTTTCCAAGATCTACAGAGACACTCGCTGGAACACCTCAGCAAGCGAGAGTCCAAAAGTGGCAGGCTCAAACCCAGCACCTCAACCAATGGCTGATACCCAATGAGAGACTCCCCCCTGGGCACACAGAAGACTGGGCGACTTGGAAGGCACTGAACAGACTGCGCTCTGGCACCACGAGATGCAGAGCTAACCTTCAGAAATGGGGCTACAAAGTTGAATCCTCGACATGTGAATGTGGAGAGGAGCAAACCACTGACCACCTACTGCAATGCAACCTGAGCCCTGCCACATGCACAATGGAGGACCTCCTTGCAGCAACACCGGAAGCACTCCAAGTGGCCAGATACTGGTCAAAGGACATTTAACCAACTACCAAACTCACAAGTTTTGTATTTGTCTGTTTGTTTGCTTTGTTCTGTCAGAAATGTAATATAATGGACTGGTTGCTCTGACACGACAAATAAATATGAATGTTCATGATGGGAATAGGGATGATGTTCCCGATGATGGGCCTGGGGATGAGGGTTTGCTTAGGCCTGAGTTAAGTTCAGAAGAGAGTCCTAAGGTGGGATTTACAAGGCCACATTCTTGAGAGAGGCCCTTCGCCGCTTTTCTCAGACCAACTGTCTGAACATGATTTGTCAGGTGCAGGAGTTCATGAGAGAAAAGATAATGAAAGCTTGGGCAGAAAGCAACGTTTTAGTAAACCGAGGCAAAGTCTTCAGAGGCTGAGAAGATCAGCTCGGCTACAGCAAAAGAGAGATGATAAACCGTTATCTGGTGGGAAGGTCAAGAAAAATGCTTCCCTTTCAGTTTGGGGATCTGAAAAAGGTTTATAATGTTCAGGGATTAGAGTTGCCTAAGTCGGGTCAATGTTGTTATTTTATCACGGTCTTAATTTCAAGTGCGAGTTTCATGTACCAAGTTTTTGCCAAACTCAAGATTTGTCTATGAGATTTTCTTGCCGTCTTGTTTCGTGGATTCGGGTGTCTAGTTTCATGGATTTTTATGCACTCTAGGATCTTGTTTTCCTGTGAAGCTGATGGACTATTTCTTATATTGGATATTTACTGTTTTTGCTATTTTTTAAACTGCTTTGCTTACATATAATCTTCAATAAACTGCTTGCTGATTTTACCAAGCTGGTGTGGTGTCTAACGTCAGAGGTGTTCCTGCTCTGGAGTACAACAGAGAGCTCTTAAAGCAGTGGTTCTCAACCTGGGGTCCCCAGATGTTTTTGGCCTACAACTCCCAGAAATCCCAGCCAGTTTACCACTGTCTTAAAGCGATTCCAAACATTTTGTGGGAATCTTTTTCCCTATCATTGACATATCTTGGGATTTCGGGACTGGCTTGCCCTGAATTGGAATGACAACAATGACAAACCATCCCTATAGATCAGTGGTTCTCAACCTGGAGTCCCCAGATGTTTTTGGCCTTCAACTCCCAGAAATCCCAGCCAGTTTACCACTGTCTTAAAGCGATTCCAAACATTTTGTGGGAATCTTTTTTCCTATCATTGACATATCTTGGGATTTCGGGACTGGCTTGCCCTGAATTGGAATGGCAACAATGACAAACCATCCCTATAGATCAGTGGTTCTCAACCTGGGGTCCCCAGATGTTTTTGGCCTTCAACTCCCAGAAATCCTAACAGCTGGTAAACTGGCTGGGATTTCTGGGAGTTGCAGGCCAAAAACATCTGGGGACCCCAGGTTGAGAACCACTGCTATAGATCCTTATTTGGGTTTTGGAGGGCAAAAAAGAACCCATGTTTCCAAAGTCAGGAAACGATGATACTTTACAACGAGCGACTCGTAGCTACTTTTGCAAAGCCACCTTTGCGTTCATCCTAAATGTATTAAGTGGTCCTTAAGACACCAAAGAGTTGCTAAACCAGTCAATGAACTGACAGTAACTTTCTGTGCTTTCAGGAGAGACCTTTCCACCACCAACTCCATGCCAATCCTGGACCAACGAAGAGCCAATAAGATGAGTGTTCAAATCTGAGAATATTATTGGATAATTTATTCAGAATTTTCTTCCCTAATATAAACAGTTAATTGTTCAATATTTTACACACAGCAAGTTTTCCACTTTTAAATTTATATATATATATATATATATATATATAGCGAGAGAGAGAGATAGATTCAAAGATACTCTCTGAACACATCACGGCTTGGCTCGTTATATCAAAGCAATGAAAAGAAAAAAAATTAAAGGAAAATAAATCAAGTGGGTGTCTTTCCCCATCCATCGCCCCATTCCGAAAACAAGTTAAAAAAACCAAACAAACCATGGCACAAAGTAGGTTTGATCCTTTGAGAGGTATTTCCCCCACCCCCTTGTTTTCGTTGTCAAAACCTTCCAACCTTTTGCTCAAGGGTTCCCATTTTCCGATTCCCCAAAAAGAGGGGCTCCTATCGTCCTCCAGCATTTCTTTCTCCCCAAAGAAGTATTGCAAACCTTTTTGATCATTAGAGAATCTACCACTGGATAAACATCAAAGGTGAGCAATGTTTTGAGGGCCCCCAAAAAGCGGGCTATCTTCCTCTAGCATTTTTCTCCTCGAAGTATTGAAAAGCTTTTTTGATCATTAGAGAATCAATCATCGGATGAGCATCAAAGGTAAACAATGTCTCGAGGGTCACCAAAAGTGGACGCTTATCTTCCTCCAGCATTTATTTCTGCCCAAAAAAGTATTGAAACCTTTTCGATCATTACAGAATCAACGTTTGGATGAGCATCAAAGGTGAACAATGTTTCGAGGGTCTCCAAAAAGCAGACTGCTAACTTCCTTCAGCATTTCTTTCTCCCCAAAGAAGTATTGCAATTCTTTTAAATCATTAGAGAATCAAGTGTCGGATGAGCATCAAAAGTGAACAATGTTTCAAGGGTCCCCCAAAGTGGACTCCTATACTCCTCAAGCATTTCTTTCTCCCCAAAGAAGTATTGCAAACCTTTTCGATCATGAAAGAATCAATTGTTGGATGAGAATCAAAGGTGTACAATGTTTTGAGGGTCCCAAAAAAGTAGACTCCTATCTTCTTCCATTATTTCTCTCTCTCCAAAGTACTGAAACCTTTTTGATCATTAGAGAATCAACCATCAGATGAGCATCAAAGGTGATCAATGTCTTGAGGGTCCCCAAACCTTTTCGATCATGAAAGAATCAATTGTTGGATGAGAATCAAAGGTGTACAATGTTTTGAGGGTCCCAAAAAAGTAAACTCCTATCTTCCTCCAGCATTTCTTTCTCCCCAAAGAAGTATTGAAAACCTTTTCTATCATTAGAGAATCAACCGTCGGATGAGCATCAAAGGTGAAAAAAATGTCTCTGAAATCAAGGAGTGATTGAGAGCTTTGGCTGTCCGGATAAAACCAACAACCGGAGCAAATGCTGGAGAAGAGAGAAGGGGGTAAAGGGTCACCTTGACCAGAACTGGATACGAAAACTCCGCAAAGATCAAAAACTCAGAACCTCAAGGAAAGCAGTTGCAGGAAATCCCATATTGGGTTTTTCTTGAGGGTCTGCTGGAGGGAAAGAGGGGGACAAGGCACATAATATCCAAATCACTTTAAGGCCACTGAACCCAAAGGCAAAGATCCTCACCTTGGCGGTTGCTTGCCCGAAAGCTCAAAGGACAAAGAGAGGGTTTGTGCAACAAAAATACGGGGCAAAAAGATCCCCCGTTTTCCCACAAGATTCCCCCTTTTGCTAGGCCCAGACGGGACAGAAGAGGTTTTGCCTGCTTTACAAAAAAAGGATGTTGAGAGAGAGACCTCAGGGCATTGGTTTTGTCGGATTTCTGTGCCATTTCCTCCCAGAAACTGAAAACACCCACCTCGGCCAGCTTTGCCTTCCTTTCCCTCTTTCCATAAAGGTAAATTAGATGAAAGACTTTCCAAAGGGAAACCGAGAAAGCTTTGGGGAGTCTTTCCTTTTCTCTTTAAAAGCCTGTACATTTTCGAACACAGCTTTTCCATCAAAAAAACAAGAACCTTCCGTAGTTTTAGAGCAATTGTTTGTTTGTTTTCCTTCCTTTCCTAGCAACGATTCACATTATACGGAACTAATTTCTCAAAAAAACAAAACAAAAAAAAGCTTATTCAGGAAAGTGCAAAGATGCGGCCTCGTGAGTTAGATAGCGGAGGTGAACACGTGAAATGTTTGTGGATTTGGGGGGCACAAAGGAAGGAAAGGGGAAGAGGGCGAGTCACCTTTTTTTTCCTATATCTGGAAATTATGAAATTATTTAAAAATACAGAAATGTCCAAAGAGAGGGAGCAAGACCTTTCCGGCTCTCCGTGAAGGAAAATGGAAAGAGAGATGGTCCGAAAGGAGGGCTTATTTGCACACAACCGACCCACCTGAAATTAGAGGCACTGGGAGATGGAAGGCTACCGGTATAAATAAGCGATGCCTCTCAGAACAACCCTCGAAGCAGAGAGGCTCAGATGCAGGAAAAAACAAAGGCTCTTTCTGGACTTACAAAATCTGGAGAAAACAAACTCTCCCAAGCTCCAGGTCTGTTTCCCTGGCACTGTCTGGAAGGCACATTAGACCCCCCCCCCCCAAAAAAAAAAAAAAAAAGAAGAAGAAAAGGGGCAAAGGATGGAGGGAAGAAACCACAAATCAACACAGAAAAGACGGCCTGCCTGAAGGCTTTGCCTCCAACCTGCCAACTCCTTTGGGGTGTGAAGGAGGATACAATCTTTCACAACGTCAATGTGGGCACACACACGTGCAACACACGCTCAGATTATTAAAAGAGTTCCGGCAACTCCTTGGCGTTAAAAACGTACCCTCCGTTCTGCTCAAGAGACTTTCTACGGACCCCTCAAAGGAACCCAGAGAAAATGCGGACCAATAATGTATAGGGAGGCTCGCTACAATTCAAATATGTCACGGCACGGAAACACGCAAAACGCACGCACAGACAGACCCGACAATGATTGCAAACTGTGAGAATTGTGTTTGGCTTAGCCTCTACAAAAAAAACCCGGACAAGACCTCGGCGACTGCTTTGGCGACCTCGTTTGGTTGAACCGCGTGGGGACAAAGAGCCCCGTTCCCGAGAGTTTGTGGATATAAAAATAATCTATATTCAGAATTCATTCGCTCCAGGGATGTGGAGAGGGGGGAAGAGGAGAGCAAAAGGCAGACCACACACGCATTCCATAGAAGAGATAAAACTGTTATGTACAAAAAAGAAGGCTCACCCGCTTTCCACAGAAACCCCGCGATTGCGCACACACGCTCATTCACACACACATGGTTTAACTCATTAAGAAAAAAAAAAGCAGCAACGATTGGTCAAATCAGAGGGATAAAAAGACAAGAGAAAGGAGAGTCTGTGTTGGACGCAGCTTGAGGACCCGTTCGGAAAGTTAAGAGGCGGGGCTTTTGCCCTTCCAAAGAAGCCGTCCAGAGAAGAAGTGCTTCTGGTTCTGACGGAAACGATGACGACGGGGCCGAAGCAAAACCCTTCCTCCTTCCGAAGGGAGCAGCAGCGCAGAGGGAGAATTCAGCAGCCACAGAATCGTCCATTTGTGTTTCACAGGCAGAAGAAATTCAGCTGACAGGCACGTCCACTTTTTGCACCAAGGGGAAAACAAAACGAAACAGAAACACACAAGAAGACCTCCGTTCCCTCCCCCCGCCTCCCCCCTCCCGCCCTGCGTCCATTTTAATCTTCTGATGATTAAAAAATCTGAATAGAAAGCGAGTCCATGTTATCTCCGTACACATTTTGTGTCAGCAATACTGCGAGTCCTGAGATTGACGTAGAGAAGCGGAAGGCAGCCCGGTGGGCGGCTGGGGGTTAGGAGGGGCTGGAGCGGGGCATGGAGAGGATGCGCCCGTTCTTCTTGCCCCCGTTCATGTGGGTGTAAGGGATGTGCTCCTCATAGTTCCCTTTCAGGCCCAGCGAGGGGCTGCTGTCCCGGCCCAGGATCTCATCCCGCTGCGTGTAGGAGGCCGGGTCCAGCGGGATGCTCTCCATGTTCTCAAAGTCCAGCTCATACTCCTCTGTCTCCGGTGGCTTGTTCTCCTCGCTGTAGAAGAAGGAGACCTCGCGGAAGGTGGGGTGGAGGTCCTCCTTCAGCATCTCAATGATCTCGGTGAAGGAGGGGCGCATCTTAGGGTTGTACTGCCAGCACATCTGCATGAGGTTGTGGCTGCAATGGCACACAGGGAGACACAACACAACTCCCGTTAGTCAGTCCCTTGCGGCACAGAGCTTGCACTCTCCTCCACGCTGCAGCAAAGTATCTTATGTCTCCTCCACCCCTCTAGACCTTTCCTAACTTTGCCCTCCCCATTTCTGCCACCCAAAATGCCCACAGCTGCAATACACCCTCTGAAAGAAGGAAACAACCTGCATTCAGTGTTAAAGGTAATCTCCTTCTTCAACCCCTAATCGTACAAATACAGAAACAGCTGGTGGTTGGAGGCAAAGTCTGGAGGCTGCCAGACTTGGTCTCTATGATCCAGCCCACATGGATTTCAAATGGTTAGAAAGCTACGAATGACAGAAGTGCATCCTAAAAGCCACTGCGTGGGTAACTGGATGTAAATGACTGTTGGGTTTCTAAACCAGGTCTTCATGGTATCAATTGGGTTTCTAAACCAGTTCTAAATGACACTCATTGGGTTTCTAAACCAGTTCTTAACACCACCCATTAGGTTTATGAACCAGTTCATCACACACTGGGCTTATAATTCAGTTCTTAATGTTGCCCATTGGGTTTATAAACCAGTTCATCGTGGTGCCCATTGGGTTTCTAAACCAGTTCTTAATGATTATCATTGGGTTTCTAAACCAGGCCTTAATCATGATTATTGGGTTTCTAAACCAGATCTTAATGGTGCCCACTGGGTTTATAATCCCGTTCTTAATGCCACCCATTGGGTTTATAAACTAGTTCATCATACACTGGGCTTATAATCCAGTTCTTAATGGTGCCCGTTGAGTTTCTAACCCAGTTCTTAATGGTGCCCAGGGGGTTTATAAACCAGTTCATCATGCACTGGGTTTATAAACCAGGCCTTAATGGTGCCCACTGGGTTTCTAAACCAGTCCTAAAAGGTGTCCATTGGGTTTCTAAACCAGATCTTAAAGGTGCCCACTGGGTTTATAATCCAGTTCTTAATGCCACACATTGGGTTTATAATTCAGTTCATCATACACTGGGCTTATCATCCAGTTCTTAATGGTGCCCATTGAGTTTCTAACCCAGTTCTTAATGGTGCCCATGAGGTTTATAAACCAGTTCATCATGCACTGGATTTATAAACAAGGTCTTAATGGTGCCCATTGGGTTTACATATAAAGGGTGCAGCAAAGCGAGCTAATAGTTTCCAATAGTTGCTTGTCTCAGCTTTAGAGAGTTCTAATACACAGAATCCTATTTCAAGCCGTGCATTGGAGTCTAATTAATGGCAGGCGTTCTTGAAAAAGGGGACTCAAGTGCAAGGCTATTCCACAGAGGGGGGGGCGGTCCTTTGCACCGACAACGGATGAGAGATAGGGCCTTCTCAGTGATAGCCCCTCGGCTGTGGAACGCCCTCCCTAGGGATATCAGATCTGCTCCCTCCCTCTTAACGTTTCGGAGGCAAGATAAAACATGGTTGTTTGAGCAAGCGTTTACAAATACAGAGTAGCGAATATAGGAAATCAAATGACTTGACAATGGAACTGGACAATGCTTGATAGTACAGAGACGCTAATGGTGTTGTTTTATCGCTCTTGTGTTTTATACTGTTTAATGTTTTAATCCATATGATGCTATGTGTACGTACTGATTTGTTGGAAACCGCCTTGAGTCACCAATTGGCTGAGAAAGGCGGTATACAAATACAGCAAATAAATAAATAAATAATAAATGTGCAACGGTGATGGTCCTTGAGGCACGAGGGGCCCTCTCTGCTCAACTTGCGGGGTCCCCCTGCGATACTCACAGCCGCTCTGCGCCATTTTCCGGCTGCTCCAGACACCCGCCGTCCATCACAAACTTCAGGACTTGCTCATTGGAGAGACCCTGGTAGGGCTGCTCCGCCAGGCTGTTGATCTCCCACAGGACGACGCCAAAGGACCTGCGGGAGGGAAGGGAGAACCAGACTTAAGACACTAGGGAAATGCTTCAATGACTACAGAACAACCCACATCTAAGTCCCTCTGCTTGGAGCAGGGATGGTCCGTTAGTAGAGAAAAAGCAGTTTAGAGCAGTTTTGGCCAGGAGGCCCAAAGTAAGAGCTGCTTCACCAAGCCACTGTTTGGGCACCAAAAACGTTTATAATATCTCTAGTTTATTTCCCAATCAGAAACAGGAGGTCTTAAAGGGAAACACAAAGAATATTCTCAAGTCCCTGTTCAGGCGCCAAAAGTGTTGAGGCACACTTCCCCAATATCTCTGGTCTCTTTTAATTCCCAAAGACCAGACATGAGGAGATTTACAAATACAACAGTTTAATTCTGCAGAAGAACTAGATTCTTGGAGAGGTGAGAGCAACCACATGCATCCTGGACCCCTGCTCATCCTGGCTGGTAAAGGAGGCCAGAGGGGGGTTGGCAGCATGGATGAAGGTGGGGGTTAAATCCTCTCTACGGAAAGGCAAAATTCCAGCCAGCTTAAAACAAGCTGTGATAAAAACAGCTGCTGAAAAAACCATCACTGGACCCCACTCAATTCGTCAACTTTCGGCCAGTTTCCAATCTCCCCTTTCTGACAGCGGGGCCTTGATTGTGGCAGAAAAGGGCTGGACTAGATGGCCCATGTGATCTCTTCCAACTCTATTATTATTATTATTGTTGTTGTTGTTGTTGTTGTTGTTGTTGTTGTTGTTATTATTAAGGGTGGATGGCCATCTGTCAGGGGTGCCTTGATGTGGCAGAATGGAGCTGGACTAGATGGCCCATGTGGTCTCTTCCAACATTATTATTATTGAGGCTGGATGGCCATTTGTCGGGGGGTGTTGATTATAGCAGAAGGGGGCTGAACCAGATGGCCCGTGTGGTCTCTTCCAAATAATAATAATAATAATAATAATAATAATAATAATAATAATAATAAGGGTCTGTCGGGGGCCTTGAATGTGGCAGAATGGAGCTGGACTAGACGGCCCATGTGGTCTCTCCAACTATCACAGGGGCGTGGTAGCACAGCGGTTAAACCGCTAGCTACAAAAAAAGCTGCTGACCGGAGGGTTAGCAGTTTGAAGCCGCAAATCGGGTTCATCTCCAGCCTCCAGACGCCGGAGATGAAAAGGGGAAGGCTGTGTATTGTATGTTGCTGTTCGTTGTGTAAAAAGGCACTGAATGTTTGCCTTATATGTCTTCTGTAATCCACTCTGAGTCCCTCCAGGGAGATAAAAGTGAAATATAAATAAAGTGTATTATTATTATTATTATTATTATTATTATTATTATTATTGTTATCATCATCATCATTAATATTGAGTCTGGATTGCCATCTGTAAGGGGGGCTTTGACTGTTGCAGAAGGGGCTTGGACAAGATGGCCTATGTGGTCTTTCAATATTATTATTATTATTGTTGTTAACATCATCATCATCATCATCATCATCATTATCATTAATATTGAGGCTGGAATGCCATCTGTAAGGGGTGGGGCTTTGATTGTTGCAGAAGGGGGGTTGGACTAGATGGCCTATGTGGTGTCTTTCAACATTATTATTATTGTTGTTGTTGTTATCATCATCATCATCATCAATATTGAGGCTGGGTTGCCACCTGTAAGGTGGGCTTTGATTGTTGTAGAAGGGGCTTGGACAAGATGGCCTATGTGGTCTTTCATTATTATTGTTGTTGTTATCATCATCATCATCATTAATATTGAGGCTGGATTGCCACCTGTAAGGGGGGCTTTGACTGTTGCAGAAGGGGCTTGGACAAGATGACCCATGAGCTTTCTTCCAACATTATTATTAATGATTGAGGCTGGATGGCCATCTGTTAGGGGGGCTTTGTGATAAAAGGGGGCTGGACTAGATGGCCCAGTTCATTCCAAGCCTATGATTCTATGACTCACCACACGTCCGAGTAGGCTGTGAAGACGCCATCTTTCAGGGACTCCGGGGCCATCCACCGAACGGGCAGCAGGCCTTTCCCTCCCTTGCGGTAATAGTCCGTCTCATAGATATCCCTCGTCATTCCGAAATCTGAGAGAGGAAAAGAGGAGACAGGGATGCAGAGTTAGGGTAGGATCGGGAGCTTCAGGAAGCATTTGAGCTATTAAGACTGCAATTAAGGACTGATGCCATCCAACAGAGGAGATCTAATTAGTACACTCAGAGGAGGACCAACAGGGGAGAACGCTTGGGAAAGTGGCACAAAGAGCTGGAGGTGGTAGTTGCTGGAAGCAACGTTGTGGAATTGTTACAGCCTGAATCTCTTGTCAATAGGCTCTTGGATGACTGGACTATGGCTTGAGTTGGTGAAATTACTTGGATTTGACCCCTGAAAAGAAACCCTGGACTATTTGTATGCTTTGCCCTTGTTGGACTGCTTGCTGTGTATGACTACGGACTGCCTTTTGAGTACGAAACGGTGAGTGGCTGCTTTAACACAGATTCGGTGTACAGGTCCTATCAAAAGAAGGGGCCGCCGTGTGCTTTTTCTTTTAAAAACATTATCCACATATTATTGACTCAACAACTTCCAGCATTTTTTTTTAAAAAAAATTCAAAGCTAACACTATGGAAAGACACAACCAGGGAAGGTAAACCTTGAAGGAAAAATAATCGAGGAAATTACAATGATAAAAAGCAGGAAGAGAAAGAAGAACACGAGATAATACAAGATAGCATAAGAAGACGTGACTACTAGGTTAAAAATTAGTGGACAATAACACTCCTCCCTTTGTTATAGAGGACATACGGAACTTTTAATACTTTAAGTAATGTTTATAAGTGTAATTGAGAGGAAAAATAGATGTAGTAATTATAACTTTGTAGAATGCTTATTTTCTTGTTCCCTCACCTCCCCCCTCCACTGCAGCATATTATTATTATTATTATTATTACTACTACTACTACTAATATTACTACTACTTATCATGACGCAGAGGCTGGATGGCCATCTGCTGGAAGGGCTTTGATTGTGCTTTTCCAACATGAAGGCAGAAGAGGGTTGGATTAGATGTCCCTTAGGGTCCCTTTCAGTTCCATTTATTATTATTATTATTATTATTATTACTATTATTATTACTATTATTATTATTACTACTACTACTACTACTACTATTTATCAATAAGCAGAGGCTGGATGGCATTCTGTTGGCATTCAGCATATTATTATTATTATTATTATTACTACTACTACTACTACTACTACTATCACTACTACTTATCATGACGCAGAGGCTGGATGGCTATCTGCTGGAAGTGCTTTGATTGTGCTTTTCCAACATGAAGGCAGAAGAGGGTTGGATTAGATGTCCCTTAGGGTCCCTTTCAGTTCTATTTATTATTATTATTATTATTATTATTATTATTATTATTATTATTACTACTACTACTACTACTACTATTTATCATTAAGCAGAGGCTGGATGGCATTCTGTTGGGTTTGATTGTGCTTTTCCTGCATTAAAGGCAGAAGGAGGTTGGCCAAAATGGCCCATGCAGTGTCTTCCAATTCTTCTAATTCTTCTTCTCCTTCTTCTTTTATTAACATATAAATAAAATCACAGCACACGTGCACATTAGGTCCAAGTGTCTGGGATTTATTTTTAAATATCAGGCTCTTCCCAAGAGCCTAGAATATTAGAGTTATTAATATTAATATAAGTAGTAATATAATATTATGTTAAACTAATATAATTATTGTTATTATAACTAGTAACATAGTATATTACACTTTTTATAAGTATATTAAATTAATACTAACATAATTAATATAAAATAATATAAATTGTATTAATGATAGTATTAATAATATATAATATTATTTATTATTACTGCTTATTATTACTAATAATAATAATAATAATAATAATCTTTATTTGTACCCTGCCTCCATCTCCCTGATGGGGACTCGGGGCGGCTTACATGAGGCCAAGCCCAAAAGACATACATAAAGAAAAATTTAAAAAAAACAAACACCAACAGCAACGCAATAAAATACGTATAATAAGCAAAGCCTTGTCATTCAGTAGAGCCTAGATGGCCTTCCATTGGGAGAGCTTTCATGGTGCTTTTCCTGCATGAAGGCAGAAGGGGGTTTAACTAGATGCCCCTTGGGGTCTCTTTCAATTTATTTATTTATTTATTTATTATTACTATTATTTTACTGAAACAAAAGCACCGTATGTCACAGCAAACGAGATCTATATGCTGGATTTCGTATCACAAAATCACAAGTCGAACACTTCCCAAGCGTCTAGGACTGTGTGATGTATTATTATTGTTATTGTTTCTAGGTTACCTCCAATTTTGACAGTGAAGTCTTCCGCCACCATGCAGTTCCGGGCCGCCAGGTCTCTGTGGACAAACTTTTTGGCATTGAGGTATGCCATGCCGTCAGCGATCTCCGCCGCCATCTGGATCATCTCCTGGAGGGTCGGGGGCGGCCGGCCGGGGTTGTTCTGGGGAGCATGTGCCAAACAGTGTCACGTTTTCCTCAACCTGTGCCTCCTTCCCTCCCTCCCTCCGCGCTTGGCACTACATATATGATGCTTACCTCTGCCTCTGGGCGCAAAGACCGCAGGTAGCTCTTCAGGTCTCCATGGGCCATCAGTTCCATGACCACCAAGGTGGGCTGCCCTTTGGACACCACCCCTAAGAGACGGACCTATCGAGAGGAAGAGAGAGAAGAATTCATTTCTACGGAAGAAGGATTTGGAAATTGCCTGTCGCTGACTACAGAATAGCAGAGTTAATACCAATGGCCTTGACATTCAACAAGATAGCTATTGTGGCTTAAATTATTTTTGGTCAAAACTTTGAAAAAATCCCTAATATCAGTAAGTGTATATTTCTGAAAGTTGGGGGAAATGACCCCCTGTTATCTTGCGTCGCTCCATGCAGTCATGCTGGCCATATGACCCTGGAGGTGTCTATGGACAATGCTGGCTCTTCGGCTTAGAAATGGAGATGAGCACCAAGCCCCAGAGTCAGACACGACTGGACTTAATGTCATGGGAAAACCTTTACCCTATCTTGTGACATTTATTTATTTATTTGCTGTATTTGTATACCGCCTTTCTCAGCCTGTAGGCGACTCAAGGCGGTTAACAGGGTAAAATTCAATGCTTACAATATCATAAGTACAATTAAAAACATAACATATAATAAAAATTAAACGTTATCAATCTATATAAATAAAAATGTAATGTTCGTTTGTGGGATTAACAGAACTCAAAAACTACTGGATGAATTGGCACCAAATTTGGACACAAGACACCTAACAACCCAATGTATGTCCTTCACTCAAAAAAAAAATTGTCATTTGGGAGTTGTAGTTGCTGGGATTTATAATTCAACTGCAATCAAAGAGCATTCTGAACCCCACCAATGATGGAATTGAACCAAACGTGGTATAACAGGACTCCCATGACCAACAGAAAGCACAAGAAGGGTTTGGTGAGCATTGACCTTGAGTTTGGGAGTTGTAGTTCACCTACATCTTGAGATCACTGTGGACTCAAACAATGATGGATCTGGACCAAACTCTGCACGAATACTCAATATGCCCAAATGTGAACACTGGGTGGAGTTTGGGGAAAATAGAATCTTGACACTCAGGAGTTGTAGTTGCTGGGATTTATAGTTCACCTACAATCACAGAGCATTCTGAACCCCACCAATGATAGAATTGGGCCAAACCTCCCACACAGAAGCCCCATGTGGGCCACAGCAACGCGTGGACTCAAACAATGATGGATCTGGACCAAACTCTACACGAATACTCAATATGCCCAAATGTGAACACTGGTAGAGTTTGGGGAAAATAGAATCTTGACATTTGGGAGTTGTAGTTGTTATAGTTCACCTACAATCATAGAGCATTCTGAATCCCCCCAACGAAAGAATTGGGCCAAACCTCCCACACAGAACCCCCATGTCGGCCACAGCAACGTGTGGCAGAGGATGGCTAGTAAAATATAAATTCATAGTGTTAAAAACGTTGTCTGGTCTCATTGTCATTGTTCCATTTTCCTATGTCAGTTACTCTGCATCTGGAAACACTTATTCAAAAAGTCACGTCTTGACTTTTTTCCAGAATGTTAAAAGGGAGGTGGCCTATCTAATATCGATAGGAAGGGCGTTCCACAGCCAAAGGGCCACCGCCGAGAAGGCTCTGTCTCTCGTCTCCACCAAACGTACTTGTGACAAAGGCAGTAACGAGAGCAGGGCCCCCCCAGATGATCTTAAGGTCCTAGATGATTCATAAGGAGAGATGCATTCGGACATGTAAGTTGGGCCAGAACCATTTAGGGCTTTATAGGCTAAAGCCAGCACTTTGAATTGTGCCTGGTAGCAAACTGGCAGCCAGTGGAGCTGGCACAACAGAGGAGTTGTACGCTCTCTGTGCGCCACTCCTGTTAGCAATGTGGCTGCCGTTTGTTGGACCATTTGAAGCTTCCGGACAGTCTTCAAAGGCAACCCCATGTAGAGCATGTTGCAGTAGTCTATACGGGGATGTAACTAGAGTGTGGACTACTGTGGCCAAGTCAGACTTCCCAAGGTACAGGCACAGCTGGCGCACAAGTTTTAACTGTCATTGCATGGAAAATTCAAGATCACTCTTGTATTTTTTTAAAAAATGTATAAAAACTTTGGAAATTCCCCCAAAATACATGGATGAGTGAAGCATTGTGAAACTTGATGGGCTCACAGTGGTCAAAGTGTACTATTAGCATTGTAGCAAGATTCACTGCTATAGCTGTAGAAATGAGGGAGAAAGGAGCCCCTGAAGTTTCCCCACTTGCACAATTACTGTCCTTTAGAAGGATAGTAAAAACCTGGCTGTGGGACCAAGCAGCAATAGGAAAGATGACCAGGCCAATTAGATTTGACGTGGATGACGTGGAGGACGGTTTTAAATGGTGTATTTTAATATTCTGATAAATGTTTTTAATGTTTATGTATGTATATAAGAATTTGTGGTCCCGGCATTGAATGTTTGCTGTATATATGCTGTGCTCCTCCCTGAGTCCCCTTCAGGATGAGAAGGGCGGAATATAAATGTTTTAAATAAATAAATAAATATAATGAGAAAGTAGCGGAATTTCGTTACTCTCGTTATAGTGATGACATTTTCACTAACTATACTTTAGGAACACTTTAGAAACAAAACGCCGGTGCCCCCTAATTTTGTAATGCCTTTTGAAACATTGTTTTCATTGATCGTACAGCCCTACTATCTATCTGTCTGTCTATATATCCACCCATCCATCCTTCAAAAAGCCCTGTTTTAGATAACCCAAAGCCCCATTGCGCCACCTGCTGGCATACTCTGGCCCCCAGGAAAAAACTGAATGGCCTCTATCATATGTTGCTGCTGTTGCTGCTGTTATTATTAACTATTTATAACCTGCCTTTCTCCCTGTGGGGAGTCAAGGTGGCTACCAATCCTTACTATTATTATAATTATTAGCCACCCCGATTCCCTACGGGGAGAAAGGCAGAATATAAATAAAGTTAGCAATAATAAGGATAAATTTGTATTGTCGAAGGCTTTCATGGCTGGAATCACTAGGTTCTTGTGGGTTTTTTCGGGCTATAGGGCCATGTTCTAGAGGCATTTCTCCTGACGTTTCGCCTGCATCTATGGCAAGCATCCTCAGAGGTAGTGAGGTCTGTTGGAATTAGGACAATGGGTTTATATATCTGTGGAATAGCTGGGGTGGGGCAAGAGCTCTTCTCTGCTGGAGCTAGGTGTGAATGTTTCAACTGACCACCTTCATTAGCATTTGAAGGCCTGGCTGAGCCTGGGAAAATGTTGTTGAGAGGTGTTAAGATGTGCCTGGTTGTTTCCTCTCTGCTGTTTTGCTGTTGTAATTTTAGAGTTTTTTAATACTGGTAGCCAGATTTTGTTCATTTTCATGGTCTCTTCCTTTCTGTTGAAATTGTCCACATGCTTGTGTTGTCCACATGCTTGAGTGCCTTTCGTGTTTGCAGCGCCCAAACACGAATCAAGGAACATGAAAGGCACTGCAGACTACTTCAACCAGAGAAGTCAGCCATAGCAGATCACCTGATGAACCAGCCTGGACACAGCATATTATTTGAGAACACAGAAATGCTGGACCACTCCAACAACCACCATGTCAGACTACACAGAGAAGCCATTGAAATCCACAAGCATGTGGACAATTTCAACAGAAAGGAAGAAACCATGAAAATGAACAAAATCTGGCTACCAGTATTAAAAAACTCTAAAATTACAACAGCAAAACAGCAGAGAGGAAACAACCAGGCACATCTTAACACCTCTCAACAAAAGATTTTCCCAGGCCAGGCCTTCAAATGCTAATGAAGGTGGTCAGTTGAAACATTCACACCTAGCTCCAGCAGAGGAAAGCTCTTTGCCCCACCCCAGCCATTCCACAGATATATAAACCCATTGTCCTAATTCCAACAGACCTCACTACCTCTGAGGATGCTTGCCATAGATGCAGGCGAAACGTCAGGAGAAATGCCTCTAGAACATGGCCCTATAGCCCGAAAAAACCCACAAGAACCTAAGGATAAATTTGCCCACGTGAAGCAGGTGAATATAGCACTGAATAGAGCCTTACATGTAGAATCACAAAATGTCTCAAACTTACACCTGTTGATAAGACTCTATAAGATAACTGACATTCCCCCCCCCCCCCCCCCCGCGATGTGCGATGGGAAGTCGCTGCGAGAGAAATAAAGTTGAACACTGTGAAAGCCACCCACTGTATGGCTATCAGCCTCCTCCCAGTAGACTTAAATCAAGGAAAAGTTTCATGAGAACCACCACTCCTCTTAATAGTTCCCTAGCAATAATGATAATAATAGTAACAATAAGTTGCTGCAAGAAGATGGCGCAGACAGACTATAAGCAGAGGAATAACGCTGTTGCTCAGATGATTCTTTGGAACTTGTGCCACAAACACCACCTGCCTGAAACAAAGAACTGGTGGGATGACAAGCCGGAAAAAGTTACAGAGAATGAACATGCCAAACTCCTCTGGGACTTCCAAATTCAGACAGGCAGAGTTCTGGAGCACAACACTCCTAACCTCACAATCGTGTTAAAAAACAAAGTATGGATCGTTGATATCGCAATCGCAGGTGACAGCAGGATTGAAGAGAAACAACTGGAAAAGCTGACACAATATGAGGATTTAAAGATCGAACTGCAAAGGCTCTGGCACAAACCAGTCAAGGTGGTCCCAGTGGTGATCGGCACACTGGGTGCAGTGCCTAAAGACCTTGGCCTGCACTTAAACACAATCAGCACTGACAAAATTACCATCTGCCAGTTGCAGAAGGCCACCTTACTGGGATCTGCACGCATTATTCGCCAATACATCACACAGTCCTTGACACTTGGGAAGTGTCCGACATGTGATCTAATTCAACAGCCAGCAGAGTGTCTGCTGTGGACTCATCTTGTTGTGTTTCAAATAATAATAATAATACTTTATTTATACCCCGCCACCATCTCCTCAAGGGGCGGCTTACATGAGGCCAAGCCCAACAATACAATACATCAGTATAAACCAACACAGTAATAACATAAAACAAAAAAATAAAATACAATACAAAACCATTATAAATAACATATCAGCAATAAAACACGACATTCAAAAACACAAAGATCCAACACTGTGGGCAGGGCCAATTCTAATAGATTAAAAATTTAAAACACTGGGTGTGACAGCAGTGAAATGAGTCTGAACAGGGGTTTTACAGGGTAGGGTAGGGCTGATTGCCCCAACAGGTCGAATAAAGTGCTTCAGAGGACATTTTGCAGAAAATTGGTCATATCAGGGAATTATTAATCTTTCATTCAGGGAAGGCACATTGGAACAACCAAGTTTTCAAGCTCCTCCTAAAGACTGCCAATGAGGGGGCCTGCCTCATATCCTTAGGGAGCAAGTCCCAGAGTCGGGGGGCCACCACAGAAAAGGCCCTCTCCCTCGTCCCCACAAGTCGCACCTGCGAAGGGGGCGGGAACGAGAGAAAGGCCTCTCCGGACAATAGAAGAGATCATGTGGGTTTTATTATTGCTATTATTATTATTATTATTATTATTATTATTATTGAGGCTGGATGGCCATTTGTTGGGGGTGCTTTAATTGTGCTTTTCCTGAATGGCAGAAGAGGGTTGCACTAGATGGCCCACGTGATCTCTTCCAACTATTATTATTTTTATTATTGCTATTATTATCATTGATTTGTTATTATTGTTGACGCTAGATGGCCATCTGTCAGGGGGGCCTTGATTGTGCTTTTCTTCCAACTCTATTATTCTATGGTTATTCTACGAGTGGCGCTTTCTTGGGGGGGGGGGGGTGGACTCACCACATGGTGGCAGCTGAAGCCCTTCATGACGGAGGCCTCGTTGAGGAACTCGATGCGTTCCCGCAGGCTGGCTGACTCGTTGACCGTCTTGACCGCCACCCGGATCTCGGGCTCACCTTTGACGATGTCGCGAGCAATGCCCTCGTAGACCATGCCAAAGGAGCCCTGGCCCAACTCCTGCAGGAGGGCAATCTTCTCCCGCGGAACCTCCCACTCATCAGGGACGTACACTGTGGGAAGAGAGAGAGACACATCCATGGATGCCGAAATCTCCACCCTCTCCACATCTGGAAATTAATAGCAAGTCTCTTACCATCACTGGCACTGAGGTACTCGGGGTTGGAGGAGGCGTAGAGCGGTCCCGTCGGCCCTTCGGTCTGCCTGAGGAGGAGCACAACAAGAGTGATTCATCAGCCCACATATCTCTACCTCTTTAAGGATTCCATCATATATTTCCTTTGGGGTCTCTTCCAATTCTATTATTATTATTAGATGGCCATCCAGCCTCTGTTTAATGATATGTAATAATAATAATAATAATAATAATAATAATAATAATAATAATAATGATAATAATAATAGAATAGGAAGAGACCCCAAGGGCCATTGGGTCTAACCCCCTTCTGCCTTTCATGCAGGAAAACCACAATCAAAACCCTCCTGACAGATGGCCATCCAGCCTCTGCTTGATGATAAGTAGTACTAGTAGTAATAATAATAACCACCCTGAGTTGCCTGTGAGCTGAGCGGTACATAAATATAGTAAATAAATAAATAATAGAATAGGAAGAGACCCCAAGGGCCATTGGGTCTAACCTCCTTCTGCCTTTCAGGCAGGAAAAACACAATCAAAGCCCTCCTGACACATAGCCATCCAGTCTCTGCTTAATAATACGTAATAATAATGATAAACAGAATTGGAAGAGACCTCAAGGGCCACCTAATTCAACTCCCTTTTGCCGTGCAGGAAAAGCACAATCAAAGCCCTCCCGACAGATGGCCATCCAGCCTCTGGTTAATGATATGTATTATTATTATTATTATTATTATTATTATTATTATTAGTAGTATTAATAATGATAATAATAATAATAATAGTAATAGAATTGAAATAGACCCCAAGGGACATTTGATCCAACCCTTCTTTCTGCCTTCATGCAGGAAAACCACAACCAAAGCCCTCCCAACAGATGGCCACCCAGCCTCTGCTTAATAATAATAACAATAATAATAATAATAATAATAATATCATTATTATTATTATTATTACATAGCCTCTGCTTAGTGATATGTATTTATTATTAATAAATAGAATTGGAAGAGACCCCAAGGGTCCTTGGATCCAACCCCTTTCTGTCTTCTGTCTTCATGCAGGAAAAGCACAATCAAAACCCCTCTGACAGATGGCCATCCAGCTTCTGCTTACTGATACGTATTAATAATAATAATATAATTGGAATAGGCTGCATGGGCCATCTAGTGTAACCCCTTTCTGCCTTCGTGCAGGAAAAGCACAATCAAAGCCTTCCCAACAGATGGTCATCCATCTTCTGCTTACTGATATGTAATAATAATAAGAATAAGAATAATACAAACTACAAGAGAGGAGATTCCATCTGAACATGAGGAAGAACTTCCTGACTGTGAGAGCCGTTCAGCAGTGGAACTCTCTGCCCCGGAGTGTGGTGGAGGCTCCTTCTTTGGAAGCTTTTAAACAGAGGCTGGATGGCCATCTGTCAGGGGTGCTTTGAATGCAGTGTTCCTGCTTCTTGGCAGGGGGTTGGACTGGATGGCCCATGAGGTCTCTTCCAACTCTATGATTCTATGATTCTAATAATAATAATAATAATAATAATAATAATAATAATAATAATAGAATGGGAAGAAACTGCATGGGCCATCTAGTGCAACCCCTTTCTGCCTTCATGCAGGAAAAGCACAATCGAAGCCTTCCCGACAGATGGCCATCCAGCAAGCCTTCCGCGCTGGGCTTTAGCAAGGCCGCTCACCTCTTTTTGATGAATACATAGGTGCCTCCAATAAGCATGATAAAGATGAGGGAGAAAATGACTGGCACGATGATGCTGACCAGGTTGGTGGGAGCATCGGCTGGAAGAGAGAGGCGAAGCTGAGTCAGGCAAAACCCACCGACAACATGGTATCAATTCCTACATCAAGTAGCCCATATTACAAAACTATGCTGGCACAGATGTGGTGGAAATGGGAACCTTTATCCTATTTTAATAACCTGCTGGTTTACATTGGGAGATGGTCTGAGTACTACGCCACCCTTGCTTATCTTGCTCCTGTCCCCAAGGCCAAACGCCCACATCCTTCAAGGTTACTAATTGCTCCTTGAGATGCACCAGCCGTGTTCTTCTACCTAGCAACTACGTGTTTCCAGCTTTCTGTGAAAGCCTTTGACAATACAGAGAAAACGTGTTATCGAAGGCTTTCATGACTAGTGAGTTTTCTGGGCTGTATGGCCATGTTCCAGCAGTATTCTCTCCTGGCGTTTCATCTGCATCTGTGACTAATGGCATCTTCAAAGGTCTGTTGGAGAAAGAACCCTTGTCTGTTTGAAGCGAGTGTGTATGTTGCAATTGGCCAATCTGAGTAGCATTGAGTAGCCTTGCAGCTGCAAAGTCAATCAGTCAAGGTGTTTGTTGGCTGTAGTGCTACCTGGAGACATTCTTTGTTTGGGAAGTGTTCACTGGCACTTGATTGTTTGCTGTCTGGAGTTCCCCTGTTACTGAGTGGTTTTCCTTATTTACTGTCTTGATTCGGGTGTTTTTGTTAATACTGGTAACCCGATTTTGTTCATTTTCATGGGTTTCCTCCTTTCTGTTGAAATTGTCCACATGCTTCTTGTGGATTTCAATGGCTTCTCTGTGTAGTCTGACATGGTGGTTGTTAGAGTGGTTCAGCATTTCCATGTTCTCAAATAATATTCTGTGTCCAGGTTGGTTCATGAAGTGCTCTGTGTTGGACCATGCAAGTAATCAGTGAGTGTGTGTGTCAACTGTAAAATAAGATGCATTAAGTTGATTGGTTGGCAATGCTTAGGGTGATGGCTGAGCCTGGAACTTTTGGATACTGTTGCATTTTTGTTCAGGCTCGAGCTCTGCATGTGCAGAGAGACGAAGAGAGAAGCAGAGAGAAACAGACAGATTTCCTTCTTGGCTTGCTCATAAGGACAAAGAAATACCATTTTAAATCTCTCTGAAAGGACTTTTAGAAAGTTGATGCAACAGATCATATTGTACCTATGTTGTTCTAAATTAAGAAGAGTAAACTACTTGTTCTTTATTGTTCACCTGCATGGCATATTTTCTTTCTCTGACAAGGCAGTGTGTGGGCTGATCCAACGGGAACTACACCTGGTTTATTTTACATTCCACCACACTCTGCTATAGTGCTGACTTCTCTGGTTGAATTATTCTGCAGTGCCTTTCATGTTCTTTGATGTCAAACTACACAGAGACGCCATTAAAATCCTCAAGAAGCATGTGAACTATTTCAACAGAAAGGAGGAAACCATGAAGATGAACAAAATCTGGTTCCCAGTATTTAAAAAAATATAAGAAACAAGACAGTACGTAAGGAAAACTGCTCAGAAACAGGGGAACTCCAGACCGCAAACAACCAAGTGCCAGTAAACATCTCCCAAACAGAGGATGCCTTCAGGCTACCTCTATGCAGATACCCTCAACTGAATGACTTTGCAGCTTCATGGTTACTCAAATGCTAATTCAAGCTTACTAAATGCAACAGACCAGGGCTCTTTCTCTCACCCTGGCGATAGATAGATAGACCACAGATACACACATACACACACACATACACACACCCTGTGGCAGAATGAAAATCACATAGTTCACGTCTTAACAATCCACACACTGTCTTGCTAGAGAAAAGGTATGCCATGCAGATGATCAGTAAGGAATAAGGTATTTAATGTATTGTCGAAGGCTTTCATGGCCGGAATCACTGGGTTGTTGTAGGTTTTTTCGGGCTATATGGCCATGGTCTAGAGGCATTCTCTCCTGACGTTTCGCCTGCATCTATGGCAAGCATCCTCAGAGGTAGTGAGGTCACTACCTCTGAGGATGCTTGCCATAGATGCAGGCAAAACGTCAGGATATAATGCCTCTAGACCATGGCCATATAGCCCGAAAAAACCTACAACAACCCAATAAGGTATTTACTCTTTGTTATGCACAGCAACATATATACAGTCATGAGAACAGTTGCTTTGACTCACACAATGTCCTTTGAAAGAGATTCAAATGTTCCTTTGGTGTCCATGTGAAGGACCTCATTCCAGCAGCCAAGAAGCAAAAATACGAACTGTCTTGGCAAGCTCCTGCACAGAAAACTTAAACATGTAACTGTTGCCAAAACTCCCAGACTCAGCTAGATTCTGGGTGTAGCCCAACCAATCAATTTTGTGCTTTGCATTTTTCAGTTAACACACTCACAGAACTGATTTTTACATGCTCCAACACACTCCACTTGCTTCACTGCCAACAGAACCTCTGAAAATGTCACTAGCCACAGTTGCAGGTGAAACATCAGGAGAATGCTACTGGAACATGGCCATATAGTCCAAAAAACTCATACAACCCAATACAGAGAAAAGCTTATTCATACAAACAAAACTGCTTTCTGACTGTGGGTCTCCATGGAGAACCGGCCTTGTCCTGGAGGAGAACAACTCAACTTCCCAACTTCCAAAAAGTCCACAAAAGCTCACCAACGTCCTCCCAACAAAGCCCATGGCCTCCTTTTCCAGGCTCATCCCAGTTTCCGCAACCAACCCCTTCTCGCCCCAAATCCGGAGACGAAAGAGTGCTGGAAGCCAGGCTTTCCTTTCTTACAATAATCGGGGACAAAGACGTAGACGGGCTCAGTCCATGAGCCGTTTCCGGCCAGAGAAGTGGCCCGGACGCGCACGCTGTAGTTCCCGGGTTGCAGATCCTTCAGCTTGCAGCCTTGCTCTGTGGAGAACTGGCGCCGGGACACGCATTCGGGCTTTTCCTGAGGGCAGATGGGGAAAAACAACAAAAGGTGTGCAGGGCTACAAAAAGGGTCACCAGCAAACCCTTGCTCTTGTAACCCACAAAAGACGAGTGCTGTTGACCTTTTTTTCATACATTTTTACTGTGCATTTTCAATTTTTTTTCACACAAAAATAAAAGAAAAACAAAACAAAAGAGCAGTGGAGTTCTTGTTTGTAAATTAAATTTTTACAAATGTCTATTATGTAACCGATGGAGTTGGGGCAGTTGGGGGAGAAGATAAACTTTTTATATGCTACTAGCTATACCCGGCCACGCTTCACTTTGGCTCAGTCTGATGAGGAATGAATGTGTTTATCACTGGGCAAAGGAATCAAAGAGCCAGCTTTGAAATGTCCCTGATTTTTAAGTGTTGGCATGAAATGCTCTGCTGTAACGTCAGCGCCGAATGAAGTCATTTGTTAACAGGAACTGTAATTTGTGTTGTTTTTGAGGAATTGCTTTGAATCATCATTCCATTTAGCAAACATTTCACTGGGTCTTTTGGTTGCCCAAGTTCAGGAAGCTTCTCTTTTCCACTTGCACTACACATTTCCAGGGTTGTCCCTTTAATTTTCCCTGCTTTGAATTACGGAAAGACTGTGTCCATTTTTTAACATGAGGCATTGTATTGAATATCTGGTTCGTTTGAAAAAGCAATTCAGCATCATGAAGCTCTATCAGTCAGGTATAGCAAAAGTATATGTCATCACTATTGATCTAATTGTTCTTGGCGTTCTTGAAACGACTGCGCTGCTCTTCTCGATTCAACTCGTAAGGCTTCAAGTCTGATTTTCCCTGTTCTATTTCCATTGTCAACAGGAACCAATCAGAGCTCTGCTTCCATTACTTTTAACGCTGAGGTAAATTGTTAACAGCGCTGTGATTGGTTGGCTTCTCTTATGCTAGTGAGGTGTACTCAATAGATAGACGACTATTGCAATTAATTCGCATACTACATGAAGGGACTACATTGAAAATAAGATGTAACCCTCAAGGTCATCTCACTAGGGCCGTTGAAACTGAGAAAGGTGTCAAGCAAGGATATACTTTGGCTCCACTACTATTTAACTTTTATATCAACTCCATGGTGGAGCATCTTTACAACTTGGACTACCACCCTCCAAAACTGGCAGGAAGACACGTATCTACCCTGCTCTATGCAGACGATGCAGTGATACTATCCAGAACTCAAGTAAGCCTGAAAAGAGCCTTGAGAGCCCTAACAAAATAATGTAATGAAGAACAGCTTCATCTTAATTTTTAAAAAAACCAAAATTATGGTGTTTGCGAAACGACCCAAGCATCATTCCTGGAGACTAGACGGACACAATATTGAACAGGTCTCAAGCTTTAAATACCTGGGAGTATTCTATCACTGCACTGGAAACAAGAAAGTACATGTGGATTACGTAGCAGAGGCAGCGCAAAAGAGCTCATATGCTATCCTAAAGTTTCTCAAAATGGGAGGAGTCCACTACATACCAGCAGCACTTAAGCTCCTTGAGGCAAAATCCATAGCACAAATGATGTATGGAGCCCAACTCGGTCCCTTCTCAAACTATGCCCCTCTGGAGCAAGTACAATCAAAATTTCTAAGATCGGCGATGCAGGTCCCCAGACGTGTCTCAAACGACACCCTGCGACTAGAGACAAGGCCTTGAGAGTGGAGGCGAGAGTGTGGACAGCCACCCTCAATTACTGGCTGCATCTGTCTTTCTCAACATGTGGCCTTGCTCCGATAACTCTGAGAGATGAATTTCAGTCTACATGGAATAAGGCAGTGGCAATCAAAATCGCAACTCTAGGCTTCTCTCAAGGACAACTGCTAGGTATGGGATGGGACCAAGCCAAGGATCTTATTAGACAACGGATCCTGGATACAGAGCGACAATCAGACTTAGCCTGCTCTCCAGCATTCACCATTAGCGAAGATAACAGATATCTCATCGCTCCCATGGCTTACTTAGCAAACCTGGAGGTGCCTAAACACCGAAGAGCTTTCACTTTGGCAAGATGCCATGCCCTTCCATTGGCAGTATTGGAGGAGAGGTACCGGAAGACCCCTGCCCAGGAGAGACTTTGCCCGTGTGAGTCTGGCTATATTGAAACAACTGAACATGTGCTCCTCCAATGTGTGTTCTATAGAGACATTAGAGCTAATTTCATCACTCCATGGCTTTTAAAACATCCAGGGCGCACTGAAAGATATTACACCTCCCTGTTGCTCTCGGACTCTTGCTCTGCGACAACCTACAGTGTTGCCAAGTTCTGTGCGGCAGCAATTAACATTAGACGGCTGATGACCGACTCCACCAGGCAACTTCCTGCCGGGAATATAGTTAGACTGATTTGTAATAACTGAAATGCTGTAAATGCTCCCCTCTCATCCCTTTTTAGAGCTTCCCAGTTGTCTGATATTTGTTATTAGCCGCCCCCTATTTTAGATTAATACATGCACTTTAAACTGTAAGTTTAGTCTGTTTTATTTTTTTTAATTTGTCTCTTTTATAACATGTTTTTAATCTGCTTTTATACCTGACCTACTTGGGAACTGCGATTCCCTTCCTTGGGTACTGGTGCCCCATTCTATACTGTGCTGGTCAAAGACCGTAATAAATCATTGATTGATTGATACTGAGGTGTAAGGAAAGCTGTGCTATGAGTGGTTGTTATTTCCTCTACTGTTGTGGTTTTAAAAAGCTGCTCTGTGTTTGGTTGTTTTTTCTTAAACTGCTGAGGTAAAAGGACAGCTGCGCTGCGATTGGTTGCTAGAGCTCAGTTTCTTTCTTTCTTTTTTTGCTGTTTAGACAAATTGAAAGCTAGGCTGGGTTTGTTTACTATGGGCTATACCGATTTGGGGGGGGGGGGGGGTTAAAGTCATTTGACCACTGTCTATTCCAGGACTGCTAGTTTTACTGTTAAAACACATGCGTTTTCAAATACAACATTGTGTTATGGCTTCATTTTAATATTAAAACACACACGTTTTCTAACGCGACATTGTGTTATGATTCCATTTTACTATTAAAACACAGGCGTATTGGATAGCAATGTTGTGTTCAAATTTCAAGTCTTTTGACCGTCTACTTTTCGAGTTTTGTGTTCACAAATATACGCAGGCTGATATTTTATATATGAGGATCGTTATTACATCTATTTTTTCATCTCGATTACTATGAAACATACTGTCAAAAGTATTAAAAATTCCATGTATCCTCGATACTAAAAAAAACACATATTCTTATCATATTCCATGTAGTTCCTGTCTTTTCTTCCAGATCTTTACATTAAGAGCAATTATTCTTATCAGTCTATTTATTTAATATATTTTAATCTAATGATAATTATTGCCATATAAATTGATGTGTTTTAATTATGCTGCAACCCACCTGGGCCTTATATAGCCTCAGGATGGTGGCCAGGGTTACCACAAAAACATTTCTGCCTAGTGATTCTAGAAGGTGCCGAACAGTACTCTGTGCATGCGTGAGAATACCCAATTGTGTGATTCACAGAGACCACGAAGAAGAAATTATTATTATCTGGAGGTATGTGTCTTACCTGAGAATCCCCAAGGCGGCCGAAGTACACCTCGTAGAGGATGATGAGTCCGTTGGGCTCCTTGGGTTCCTGCCATCGCAGGTGAATAGTGTTCTTCTCCACCACCTCATGGGTAACAGGGCCGACAATGTCGTCTGCTTTCGCTGGAGGGCAAAACAGAGCAGGAAAGAGAGCAAAGACATCACTGGGAGGCTGTCAGGGCCTCTGCATAGGATAGGGATGATGGGGAAGATTGTCTTTCCCCGGCATCTGAATCGGGGGAAAATGTCGAGCTATATTCCCTCTCTGTGATCAGATCATTTTATTTTGGAATGCAAGTCTATCAAGAGAAGACTTCTGGATCTTTACTTCCATAATAATCTGACCCTTGCGGCAAAGACAACTTGTTCCCCTATCACGTCATTCATTCTGTAAGAGCAGACTTTTGGATCTCGATTTCCATAATAATCTGTCTCTTGCAGGAAATACATCTTGTTCCCCTACCACGTCATTCATTCCATAAGAGCAGACTTTTGCATCTTGACTTCCATAATAATCTGACTCTTGCAGCAAAGGCACCTTGTTCCCCTACCCCTGCCCTACCACATAATTAATTCCATGCAAGTGTGGAGTCATGACGGTTTATCTTAGTTTATTTTGATTAATCCCACCCAGATAAGAGCTTTGGCTACTGCAAGATGTAATGTGCTGCCATCAGTTCTTTTGGGTGGGATACTTCCTAGGTAAGAATATGCACAGCTAAACATCTAAACCTCTTAAAAACATCCAGTAGCAACAACAGTCTTTTGACTATTCTCCTGCTTGACCGCCGTTGCGGCTTGCCTGCTGTGTAGGATTTTGGACTGCTTCTGACTACAAGACTGGAGAGTGGCTGGCAGGGCTCTGACCGTGGCTGGTGAAGGGAGCCCCCCTTTCCCCATGGACCAGGAAGTCTCCGCCTTACCTTCCGGCATGGTCCGAGCGCTGACGTAGGCAGAGACGCCACACTCAGTTGGGGCCTCCCGGTTGCAGGCCCGGATTTCAATCCAGTAGCTTGTGAAGTGCCGAAGGTTGGAGATGACCACCGACTCCTTCTGGACTACCGTCACGGAGGGGCGAGCCTCCTCAGGGGCGACAGTGGAGCCATTGGCCAAGCCCAGGACAGCTGGAGGAGCCACGGTGCTGTTGGCTATGCGGCCCACATCCCTTCGCCTCCGCGTGGGCCTATGGGAAAGAAAGGCACATGTATTTGTGTGTATATGTGCGGACAAATTCAGCCTGACCAATTTTGCAGGGCTGTTGCTCTAAGGTTGATTTATGGTTTGCTAATTGCACAGTGGCAGATAGGAAGGTGCTCTGGAGGGTGTCGTCCCTGGGTGCTATACTGTTCGGCATGTCGCACCTCAGAGTAAAATCACTTTGCTTAAGAAACCACGGAGCACACAAGCAGTTGTCTTTCTGGTTTATTCAAGTAAAAGATAAAAAGTTCAAAAAGGCAAAAGTGTATTTCAAAAGATCAATCTAAGGTAACACAGGCAAACAAGATCCATCAAGTCCTGTAACGGACTGGATGAGGGCTAGCAGATTGAAACTAAATCCAGACAAGACAGAGGTACTCCTGGTCAGTCGAAAGGCCGAACAGGGCATAGGGTTACAGCCTGTGCTCGACAGTGTTACACTCCCCCTGAAGGCGCAGGTTCGCAGCTTGGGAGTGATCCTGGACTCATCGCTGAGCCTGGAACACCAGGTCTCGGCGGTGGTCAGGGGAGCTTTTGCACAATTAAAACTTGTGCACCATTTGTTTATAGCAGTTACATATTATTCAACACACTCTTTAACATATAATCTTATTATTCTGCTTAAGCATTTTTTTTCCCTTTTTTCCCACCACTGTGCTCCGCTCCCCCCATATCAAGCCACAACTTTTACATATCGTCTGTCCAAAATCTCAATTCTTCTTGTGGCGGTAACTTTCCTTCTTTATTTTTTAAACCATTTAAACAAATTTTCCCCATGCAACATCAAAATCACTTTGTTTCCATATACCTTTTTAAACTTTTAATATACATGTCAGCTTATCATTTATTGCCAGTCTCCATGCTTCCTTGTACCACTCCTCTATTTGTATATTTATTTCTTTTTTCCAATTCCTTGCTATGAGCAGTCTTGCTATTGTTAATAAGTTTGTTATCGCTTCTTTATCCTCCTTTTTCAATTGTATATTGTTATATAATGATAATAAAGCTATACTAGGACCTTTCTCAATTTTCATATTCATTATAACTTCTATTTCTCTAAATACTTTCCCCCAAAAATTATTTACATATTTACATTGCCACGACATATGTATATATGTTCCTGGTTCTTGACACCCTCTCCAACAATTTTCTGAATTATTTTTATTTATATATGCTAATCTTACTGGTGTTAGATACCACTTCCATATTAACTTATAATAATTTTCTTTAATCCGTATTGATAAATTTTTTAAATGTCTTTGTCTCCATAATTGTTGCCACTCTAATTCATTTATTTTTATCCCTAAGTCTTCTTCCCAAACCTCTTTAAGGGTATTGTTTTTTGTGTTTCCTTCCTTTATTTCGATTATTATCTTGTATATTTTACTAGTTATTCCTTTCAAGTTTTTATGCTCTTCTACATCCCTTCCCTTCTGTATTATTTGTTCAAATTGATTAAGTTTACTTCCATTTTTATTATTTTTTCCCAATTTTTAAGCCATTCTTCTAATTGTATACAATGGAACCATGTCAATTTTATTTATTTAATGGAACCATGTCAATTTATACTAACAGGAGCGGGGTACAGGGAGCATATGACTCCTCTGTTGCATCAGCTCCACTGGCTGCCAATCAGTTTCCGAGCACAATTCAAAGTGCTGGTGTTGAGAAACGCTGATATAGGGCTTTATAGGTGATAACCTGAACTTTGAATTGGGACCAGAAACTTATCAGCAGCCACTGGAGCTGCTTTAATAGGGGCATTGTGTACTCCCTATAGCTGGCTCTAGTTAGTAACCTGGTTGCCGATCTTTGCACCAATTTTAGTTTCCAAGCCATCCTCAAAGGCAGCGCCATGTAGAGTGCATTGAAGAATAATCCAATCTAGATGTAACCAAGGCGTGGACCACCATGGCCAACTCAGGGGTTTTGAGATATGGTTGCAGCTGGCACACAAGCTTTAACTATGCACAGGCCCTCGCAGACACCACCAACACCTGAGCTTCAAGCATCAGCGCTGAACCCAGGTTGCGGACATCTGTCCTCAGGAAGAGGGGAATCCCATCCAGCACAGGCTGCCACCCGATACCCTGATTGGTCTTCCGACTGACCAGGTGGACCTCTGTCTTGGCTGGATTAAACCTCAGCTTGTTGGCCCTCATCCAGTCCATCATGGCTTCCAGACACTGGTTTAGGATTGGGGGGGAATGCTTGGACTTCGGTGGGAAGGAGTAACAGAGTTATGTCTCATCTGCGTACAGATGGCACCCAACTCCAAAATGCCAGATGACCTAACCCAGAGGTTTCATGTAGATATTGAAAAGCATGGGAGAGAGAATAGAACCTTGCAGAATCCCACAGGTCAATGGCCAGGGGTCCGAGCAGGTGTCCCCCAGCATCACAATCTAGGTACAATCCTCCAGGAAGGAGCAAAGCTGCTGCAATGCAATGCCCCCAAGATCCATTCTGAAGAACCAACCTAAAAAGATACTATGATCAATGGTATTGAAAGCTGCTGAGATAGCCAAGAGAACCAACAAGGACACATCCCCCCTTGTTGAGCTCTCTGCAGAGGCCATCCACCAAGGCGACCAAAGCCGTCTCCGTTCCGAAGGGAGGGTAGTGGCCTTACCGGGGGACAAAGACCTCATCGTGGAGGTAGTTCTCAAAGATCTTCCGGAAGGCGGACTCTTCCTTCTCCTTCTGGATTTGGGAGTCGGTTTTGGGGCAGGAGCAGCAGGCACCGCCTGGGTCCTCACCGCTCTCGCTCTGGTTGTGCTTGTGGACGTCCTCTGACTCCAGCGGAGGGGACCAGGCCCGGTATGGAGTCTTCAGGCCTGCAAGGAGGGTACAAGAGGCAGTCAAGCAGATGCAGGCAGGCAGGAAGGAAGGGAGGGTAAAATGTTAAGAAAGGGGAGAAGAGGGAATTGAAAGGGGAGGGAGGAGAAAAATAAAATGGAAGGCAAGAAAAGGAAAAAGGGAAGGAGGGAGGGGAAGGAAGAAGGAGAAGAGATAATAGAAAGGGGAAGGAAAGAAGGGATTGAGGGAGGGAGGTAAAGGAAAGGAGAAGGAAGGAAAGAAGGAGAAAAGGGAAATGGAAGGGAAGGAAAGAAAGGAGAAGGAAAGAAGCTAAGAAGGAAGGAAGGGGAAAAAAGAAAAGGAAGGAAGGAAGGGAAGGAAAAGGAAGGAAGAAGAAGAGAAAAGAAAGGGGAAGAAGAGAAAGGGAAAGGAAGGGAAGGAAGAAAAGAGAAGGAAGGGAGGGAGGGAGGGAGGGAGGGAGAGAAGGGGAAAGAAAAAAGAAGAAGAAGAGGGAAGGAAGGAAAGAAAGAAGAGAGAAGAAAAGGAAAGGAAAAAGGGAAGGAAGGGAAGGGAAGGATGGAAAAAGAAGGAAGGAAGGAAGAAGGAAGGGAGCAAAGAGGAAAGGAAAGGAAAAGGAGGAAGGAAGGAGAAAGAAGAAGAGAGGGAAGAAAGAAAGAGGAGGAAGGAGAAAGAGGAAGAAAAGAAAAGGAGGAAGGAAGGAGAGAAAGGAAAGGGAAAAGAAGAAGGGAGAATAGAAAGGGGAAGGGAGAGAAGGGAAATGGAAGGGAAGGAATGGAAAGAAGCAAGAAAGGAAGGAAGGAGAAAAGGGGAATGGAAAGGAAAAGGAAGGCAGGCAGGCAGGCAGGAAGGAAGGAAGAAAAGAAGATGGCCCTTGAGGTATCTTCCAACTCTATTATTGTTGTTGTTGCTGTTGTTGAGGTTGGATGGCCATCCTTCGGGGGGGGGGGGCTTTGATTGTGCTTTTCCTGCAGAAGGGGGTTGCAACAAATGGCCCATGGGGGTCTCTTCCAAATTATTATTATTATTATTATTATTATTATTATTATTATTATTATTATTAAATTGGTGAGGAGCAATCCCCTCAACTGGCCTTTCAGGCAGTAGTCCAGTTCGTAGAGCTCCTTGTCTTCGCTCAGCTGCTCCCAGGACACCAAATAGTGGGTGATGTTTCCATTGGGGTCGGAGGGTGGCTTCCATTTCAGAATGATCTGCGACGAAGAGTTGGAGACAGAGATGGGGTCTGTGGGGACAGCAGGCACTGCGGCAGAGGAGAAAAGAGGGAGAAAAGAGAGGGATCACAATCAGGAGGCTTTTATAATTCAATCGTTCCAAGCATGCATACACACACAATATTCCTTTCCACGTTCCCCTTTTCCTTTGTAATTGGGGCTATCCAGTCGCGTCTGGCCCGCAGGCCTTTGTCATCCCATACCTGCTCTAGACCCCTTCGAGAGGGAACACCTTGTCAGAAATATTAAAAACCAACTGGGTATTTTTGATTATAAAAGTGTGAGACAAACGCTGAAAGAGTGAGCATGCCAAAGCCTGTTAGAGTCAGTGGGCCAAAGCTAGTGTCGTCCTGACGAGAGTGAGCAGGCCAAAGCCTGTTAGAGTCAGTGGGCCAAAGCTCGTGTCGTCCTGAGGAGAGTGAGTAGGCTGAATCCTGTTAGAGTCAGTGGGCCAAAGCTAGTGTCATCCTTAGGAGAGTGAGTAGGTCAAAGCCTGTTAGAGGCAGTGGGCCAAAGTTGGTGTCATCCTGAGGAGAGTAGGTCAAAGCCTGTTAGAGTCAGTGGCCAAAGCTACTGTCATCCTTAGAAGAGTGAGCAGGCCAAAGCCTGTTAGAGTCAGTGGCCAAAGCTAGTGTCGTCCTGAGGAGAGTGAGTAGGTCAAAGCCTGTTAGAGTCAGTGGGCCAAAGCTAGTGTCATCCTTAGGAGAGTGAGCAGGCCAAAGCCTGTTAGAGTCAGTGGGCCTAAGCTAGTGTAGTCTTGAGGAGTGTGAGGTAAACCTCTGAGTGTGAGAAGCCTTGTGTGAGAAAGCTCCAGTGTGAAGGCTGCTGCGTGTAAAGCGACTATGTGTTTATTTGTGTTATAGAAACCTTGTTGTAAATAGTGCAACCATATTATTTTACTACAAAGAAAAGCCTCCTATGGAAGAAAGAACACTGGTCTGTGCTTTTGCTCTTTTTCTCACTTTGGGCTACTGGTGCTGGGTCATGCTGCTGCTGCTAAATTACTTTGCTGTATATTTATGAGGATAATCTTTTGTTAATAAGCCCACTCGCCCAACACACCTCTCTAGTCCTTCTGGCACAACTGTATGATCAGCTACCCCATTCCACACACAGACAAATGGGTGTGCGTGCGTGCAAGCGCTACTCACCAGAGGCGTTGGTCTGGAGGTAGATGATGTCACTCTTGGCACCGTAGCTCCTGCGCTCGTCCGAGTAGGTGACCAGGGTCTTGACGAAAATGGCGTACTGCGTCCAGGGCTTCAGGTTGCGCAGCAGCCACCCCGGGTGAATGGGCTGCTTGCCATCCGTTGGCCGTGGTGGGGGTTCGATGTCCACCACCGTCCAGCTGTTGGAGCCGCAGACGTCCTGCCCATCAAACTCAGTCACGTTCCGGAAGGGCCTGTCCCCAGGCAGGGAAGAAGGGGAAAGGGGGTGTGAATTTGGAAGATGCACCCTGTTGCAGGAGCGTCGCTTTGTATACAACAGCATCTTGGATAGTGCTTTTCCTATCTGGCAGAAGGCGGTTGGACTTAATGGCCCCTGGGGTTGCTCTGATCATTATTCTTATATTATTATTATTATTATTATTATTATTATTATTATTATTATTATTATTATACTAGCCTTCCCCTGCCACGCGTTGCTGTGGCCCACATGGGGATTCTGTGTAGGAGGTTTGGCCCAATTCTACGTTTGTGGGGTCTAGAATGCTCTTTGATTGTAGGTTAACTATAAATCCAAGTAACTACAACTCCCAAATGTCAAGATTCTATTTTCCCCAAACTCTACCAGTGTTCACATTTGGGCATATTGAGTATTCGTGTAGAGTTTGGTCCAGATCCATCATTGTTTGAGTCCACAGTGATCTCTGGATGTAGGTGAATTACAACTCCAAAACCAAAGGACACTGCACACCAAACCTTTTCAGTATTTTCTGTTGGTCATGGGAGAACTGTGTACCAAGTTTGGTTCAATTCCATCATTGGTGGGGTTCGTAATGCTCTTTGATTGTAGGTGAACTATAAATCCCAGCAACTACCACTCCCAAATGACAAAATCAAATTTTTGAGTGAAAGACATACATTGGCTTGTTAGGTGTATTGTGTCCAAATTTGGTGTGGTTTTTGAGTTCTGTTAATCCCACAAACGAACATTACATTTTTATTTATATAGATTACTAGCTTGGGGACCTGGTTATTTGAGAAAGGCACTGTTTGTTTTTGGATGTTAGGTAATAACTTAGGTAATCTGTAAAGCTATTTATTAGAAAAACACCTGCCTTTACTTTTGTTTTGTGAATGGGAATGTTTTGTGAATGTTCCCATTAGAAATTGCGTAAGGATGTGGGTGAACTACAACTCCCAGATTCCAAGGCCATTCACCCCCCAAACCCCATCAGTATGCACAGCTGGCCATGTTTGGTCCATATCCATTGTTGGCTGGGCTCAGTGCTCTCTGGATAAGGGTGAACTACAGTTCCCAAATTCCCCAGGTAGTCACCCCCAATCTCTACATGTATGCACAGTTGTCCATGTTGAGTCTGTGTGCCAAGTTTGATCCATATCTGTCATCAGCTGGGTTTAGTGCTCTCTGGATAAGGGTGAACTACAACTCCCAGATTCCCAAAACAATCACCCCCAAACCTTCCCAGTATGCAGAGTTAAAGAACAATCACTCCCAGTCCCCCACCTGTATTCACAGTAGGCCATGTTGGGTCCATGTGCCAAGTGTGATACAGATCTGTCATCAGCTGGGTTTAGTGCTCTCTGGATAAAGGTAATCTACAAGTCCCTGATTCCCAGAGCAATCACCCCCAAACCTCGCCAGTATTCAAGGCTGGCCATGTTGGGTCTGTGTGCCAAATGTGGGGTCCATTGTTGGCTGGATTCTGTGCTCTCTGGATGAAAATGAACTACAACTCCCAAAATTAAGGTCTATTCCCCCAAAGCCCTGTACAGTATGTTCAGTTAGTCATGGGGCTTCCCTGTGCAAAGTTTGGTCCCGGTCCATGTTGGTGGGGTTCAGTTTCTCTGGATGCAGGTGAACTATAACTCCCATAAATCTAGATCATTATCTCCCCCAGATTTCTCCAGTATGTTCTGTCAGTCATTGGGAATCAGTGTGCCAAACTTTGATTGTGCTTTTCCTGCCTGGCAGAGGGGGGTTGGACTGGATGGCCCCTGGGGTTGCTCTGATTACTACTACTACTACTACTACTACTATTATTATTATTATTATTATTATTATTATTATTATTATTATTATTATTATTATATAAATACTAGCTTTACCCGCCACGCGTTGCTGTGGCCAGCCTTCTCTCCCTCTTTCTCTGCTTCTTTCACTCCTTCCTTCATTCTGTTTTCTTCTTTCCTTTCTTCCTTCTCTACCTGTTTACTTCCTTCCTTAGCTGTTTGCTTTCATCCTTCCTTCTCCTTATTTCTTTCCTTCCCTGAGTCTTTCTCTCCTTCTTTCTCTTTTTCCTTTGCTGCGTCTTTCCTCCCTTCCCTTTTTTCTTTCCTTCTCTCCTCCTTCCTTCTGTACCTCTTTCCTTCCTCCTCCCTTTTTCTTTTCCTTCCTCTTTGTCTCCTTTCTTCCCTCTCTTTCTCTTTCCTTCCTTCCTTCACTCTCTGCCTTCCTTCCTTCCTTTCTTTCTTTCTTTCTTTCTTTCTTTCTTTCTTTCTTTCTTTCTTTCTTTCTCTCCCTCCCTCCCTCCCTCCCTCCCTCTTCTTTC